AACTCAAGTGCCTTATGCGAAAAAAAATGATTAACCCGATTAAAAGATGGGAAAGTGAGCTGAACAAAAGTCTCTCTAAGGAAGACATACGAACAGCCAAAAAGCATATGAGGAAATGCTCGACATCCCTCATCATAAGGGAAATGCAGATAAAAACCACAATGAGATACCACCTAACCCCTGTCAGAATGGCAAAGATTAAGAATATAAAAAGTGATAAGTGTTGGCGGGGATGTGGTGAAAAGGGAACCCTCCTACACTGTTGGTGGGAATGTAAACTAGTTCAACCACTGTGGAGAACAATATGGAGGTTCCTCAAAGATCTACAAATAGAACTACCATTTGATCCAGCAATCCCACTTCTGGGTATTTACCCAAAAGACAGGAGAACGCTCAGTCAGAAAAGTGCTTGCACATCCATGTTTATTGCAGCATTATTCACAATTGCCAAGACATGGAACCAACCTAAATGTCCACAAACTGATGAATGGATTGGAAAAGTGTGGTATATATACTCTATGGAATACTACTCAGCCATAAAAAATAACAAGACCCTGGAATTTGATAGAAAATGGTCAGATATGGAGGATCTATTGCTGAGTGAAGTAAGCCAGGCTATGAAAGAAAGATATTGTATGTATCCACTCAATATATACCGACTATCCGCACTCTATAATAGAGAGCAAAAATTCGGAGGACATAAACACAGTGAAGGTACTTAATGAGAATAGGACAGTGTGGAATGGGGTAAGTGAAGAGAAGAGGATAGAGAAAGATAGCAAGTGAACAATAGAGAGACAGGACGTTAGTGAGAAACAGATAGGGCTTATTAACTGTTGTTGATGACATGTATAGTATTCTCAACTGGGTTGGTCTGAGAAGATGATGACATGTATAGTATTCTCAACTGGATTGGTCTGAGAAGTATTTCATGATGGGCAAAGTATTTTTACAAGCAAAACGAGAAATAGCAATTGACTGTTTTATAAAAATAATTAGAATAATAAAAATAATGATTGGGGAAAACAGAAAAGATATGGAATGTTGAAGTGGGGAGATTAATGTCTCTGTACTGACTGACATGCATGGCATTCCCTTTTGAAAAAACAATGTAATACACTGTAAAGTTATATGTAATCCAATGTAATATAAAGAAGATTATGATGATAATAAAAATAAAAAAATTAAAAAAAGAGAAAAATTAGGGCAACTATAGAGAACACAGGGCTATTTTAGATAGAATCATGAGGAATAATATATATATATATATGCATTTTATAAAATGTATTTCTCCCTTGTATGAGTGAAACAGAAAAAGAGAGAGAGAGACATCCTCAGTATGTTTCTTACCTTCAGTCAGCCTCAGATCACAAGCCCACAAGTGCCCAGTGTGTTCAGGGAGGTCTCCAGATTTGAATCCAGAAACTTCCCATGTGGGCCAGCCTCATAGAGCGTTGTATTACTGCTGCACCACTGTCCGGTCTCTAAGGAGTGCTTCTTGAAGCTGAGATGAAGAGGAGAATGAAGACCGAAGTAAAGTGAAGAGACAGGAGGAGTATATCCACGAAGAAAGAATAAGAAATGGGCAGGTATGGCCAGAGTGTGGTGATGCAGAGTATGAAGCACCCAGTGTGTTTGAGAAGGAAGTTAGGGGTCTGATTATTGAGAGCACTATAACCAGAGAAAGAAGTTAGAATTTTACTCTAATGTTTTGGAGGCAACTGGATTCACTTCCAAGGTCAGGAATAATGGAGGAAGGCAAAGAAACATAATGGCAGACTGGAAAACCTGAGATGAATTTTTCTTATATTCCTTTATGGAGTTAGGCGAAGTTCTTACTTATTTACTTGAGTTGTGAGCGGGTGCATGCTTTTGTCAGAGGGAACATGGGCACATGTGCTTGCCAGAGGAGAGAGAGCGAGAGAGGGCCAGAGAGAAGAACCACCCCCGCCCTCAATTTCCCCCCATGTGGCATAGTCATGCTGCAATCCCGTCTCCATTTTTCTATCATATTAGAATTGAGGGCACTCATGTACATGCTCCTGGAATGTTTTCTAAGTTGTTGTGGCCAAGATTTGTGCCATTGTTGTCCATGTGGGAGCTGGCTCACCTTAACCACCAGGCCATGGGGCCGACTCTGTAGTTCTTTAAAAATTAATGGCAGTTCCATTGAATATCAACGTAAGAATTTTAAAAGTCTCATCGAGCAGCTAAAATAGTCCTAGAGTCTATAAAATTAAGTTAGTTGATATGTTTTCTGAGAGGCTTACACTTTTCATTTAGGAAGATGTTTTCAAAATTTTCTAGTTCCTTTTCTCATGCTATAGGCCCAAAATTGAGGTCTGGGGAATTGGAGAAGACTGCTGAAATTCACACCTGGTTTTTAAGGAAGATAAAAAGTGATAGAGATTTGAACCTGTGTTTTCTACTTGGGGGAAAGGGGAAGAAAAGGAATCATGAAGTGCTTAGGGAATGTATTAATAGAAAAGAGAGTCAGTTAAGTGTAGGAAATTGGGGACTGACCCTGTAGCCTAGTGGTTAAGTGAGTTGGACTCCACATGGTCAACTGTGTTTTGAATCCCAGTCCTTGTGACTTGAAAAACACTGGGCGTGTGTGTGCATACCCCAAATCCCAGACAGGATGGGGAAATGAAGAGGGGATTGCTGCATAACCACCACCATTGAGGGGAGTACCTCCTCTCCCTTTTGTTTCTTTGTTTCTCTCTGATGAGCTCATACACCTTCTGGTGGTAACTAAAAAACAAAACAGCAAGAAATTGCATTTTTAAAAGAAAATTATTCTGTTATCTCCAAGGGATAAGAACACCTTTCTGTTTGTTTTTAGGTTTCTGGGTTTACCTCTCACAGAGAAGAAAAAAAAAATTTTTTTTTCTTTGTTTGAAGACAAAAAAAAATTAAACAATGCCACATCTGGGTTGTGTTTTAAGTTGTATGTTGGTTACAGTTTTAGACAAAATGGCATGAGAACATAGGGAAACCAGAAAGTAATTTCTTCTGGGAATGGAAGGAAAGAATGAACCTGGGCCTTGTGTGAGAGAAAGCTTTCCAGAATAAAGAGGGAGTGCAGGTCAAAATCATCTACGCCACAGAAAAGGTAAGAAAGGCAAAGACCCAGGGATTTAAATGTAGTTCTGATACAGCAGAACAGGGCTCTCCACCAGAGGCTCAAGGCTTAAGCACAGATAAATCATTTTGTAGACTCTCACTTATTTCCCTGTAGATCTTTGATGATCTTTCATTATTTGATTCAGTTGCGGGTTATGAGAATGAAGCAAGCCCTTTCCCCAGCTTACATCTTCATCCCTCTCTATGAATATGATGCTTTTGGAGAAGCATCAGAAATCCTTTTGTGAGCTTCTGGGGTGATATGTCCAATTTGTTTGTGGCCTCAGATTCTGACTCTGCTATCACATCTGTCTGATACATCCCAGCTTGGTTAGAGCTTTACATTTATATGTAAACTTACATTTATGTGATATGAAAGTTAATAGGTGCTAAGAGCTGAATAGTGACAGGGTGAGACAGACCAACAGGGAAGGCTATTAGTTCAGATCCAGAGACTTCCCTGACTACACCAGGCCCACCCCTGCCCATCATCCAGGCTGGCTGAAGCTGGGGATGGATGGCAGCAGCAGAAGCCTATCTGGGGTGCTCTATTATTGTTTCTCTCTCTTTCTGTCTTTTTCACTTCTGAAATAAACAAAAATTTTTAAGAAGTTAGACTCCATCTGGCAAGCAATGGCACTTCGATAAAAGGAAGTAGTAAACAATGCAAAGGAAGGCAGCGGAGCCCCCAAACAAGGTATCCGCACAGGATGTTGATGAGCAGAATTTCCGGAATAATAATGATCTCTCTGACCTGGGGAACGATCAGTCTAACAGAGTAGAAAGAGGGTAGTAGAAGAAAGAAATCCAGAAATAAGAGTAATTGATTCATTATCTGTTGTATTGACTATTTCGAAAAAAAAAAATCTTGCTTTTTGATAGATATAATAGAGTTCTAAAAAATGTTAAGCATATGGGAAGTTATACAACAAATTAAAATATTTTAAAGCTTTTTTTTCACTTTGTGTTAAATCCTTTTAGTATACAGATCTACTTCTGTTGGAAATACACATAGTTGTGTAACCATCATAAGAACTACAACAGATCATCACTCCTCAGAATTCCCTCTTTATCCAGATAACTAATCCCTTCCTCACTCCTCTTTCTGGCAACTGCTGATCAAGTGGGCTCCCTAGTTTTGCCTTTATCCTAATGTCATCTAAATGGAATCACATAGTGTATACATTTTTAAGTCTGACTTTAATTTTTATTTAGTTTAATACATTGGTGATTAATTCATGGTTTTATACACATCAGTACGTTATTTCTTTTTTCTCTTTGTTTCTTTTTATTGCTGATCCACTTTATGAATTTATCACAGTATGATTATTCATTTACTCGATTAAAGACATTTGATTTTTACCTATTGTTTGAGATTACAAATAAAGTTTTATATATTGTTAATTTTAATTTAAGAAAGCAAAATAATTGTATGAGATACAAAACAATCATGATACATAAGTTGATGAGAAATACATATATATGTTTTCTGAATATATAGTGTGTGTGTATATATATATATATAAATATATATATATATACACACATGTGTATATGTATAGTATGAGTAATGCAAATTCTATCACTTCAATCAAAGGTTTTTTTCTAAGATAATGTGGAAGGGAAAGCGATTATTCAAGAGAACCAGTTCATATTCCACCAGAAGACATTAGTAAGATGGTGTGTAAATTTATAAATGAAGAATAATAAAGCACTGATATGTATAAACGTAGACAAAAATATCAGAAAAATTACCTAAATGATTTAAATATTGCCTCCCTTGTAGAATTGAGAAGACTGGATCATGGAACTTCAGAATTCTCTTTCTTTTCTTTAATTTTTCTTTTGAGTTTTTAAAAGCCAATTACTTCTCTGTGCTCTTTTCTGCAGCACATATACTAAAATTAGAATGACACAGAGGATTAGCATGACCCCTACATGATGATAACACACTTATTCATAAAGTGTTTCACATTTGTTTAAAAAAAGGCCAATTAGTCCCATTTAGATTTTTTTTATGTGCATCTATTAGTGTGATAGAAATTTTTTTTAAGATACTTTTTTTTTTCTCAGTAAGACATCAAGTAGTTCCTTCTATCATCTACCCAAATTTGCTCTTCTCTCCTTGGACCCACTTGTCCTCCTTTACTTTGTTCCCTAGTTTTTTAGTGTGTGTGTGTATGTGTTAAGTTTACTTATTAAGAGAGAGAGAGACGGGCAGGTACCCACAACAGGATCTTTATACCACAATCTTCCCCAATCTTACACACCTGGTGTGTACACAGAGACCTTAGGATGCGAACCAACGACCTTCTCATGTGGGTCTGGATATGTTACTACTGCACCATCATCTGACCCCTTCTTCGTTCTTTAAAAGCCTTTTTCTCCTTTGTTAAAAGAACTATTGCCCTACTTGTTCTATAAAATTATCATCTTATTTTTGATATTACTTCTTATAGTTATCATTTTACTCATCTTTTCAGGAGTTTTCTTATATGGGTGTGACAAAATGAAAGATGGTATTAGAAACCTAATGACTCACTTGATCACATGGATTTAAGAAAAGGCATAATGAAGATTTTAACTCATCAGAATGTTGCTCTAATCCAAATTTATAGTCTCAAATAATCAGACTCCGTAATCCATCTACCACCAAAAAACATAGTAATTCCCAGACCAAATTAAGTGATGTAGGGAGTTACTTAGGAGATTTAAGTTCCTGTCCTTTACAATAAAAGAAAGAAAAATATTATTTGCTCCAAATCAGCAAAAACATTAAATGGCTCATGAAGAGAAGTTAAATAGTGAGTCAGAGACCCCAGGAAATATGGAACATTGAAAACAGACTCAAATATGGAGTAAAACACCAAGGGGGACTAGCATTTGGCGTAATGGATATGTCGCTGACTCCCATGTAGTTGACCATGGTTCAAATCCCGGACCCAGAGGCTTAAACTCGTGCTAGGCGTGTGTGCGTGTGTGCCCAAGATCTCAAGAGGAGAATGGAGGAGAAGGGATTGTGGCATGGCCATCCCCCCTGGGGGGTGATTTCCTACTTTCTGTCTCTCTATCTTTCTCTGTTTTTCTGACGAGTGCACATGCCCTCTAGCAAAAACCTTTTTTATAAAATATATTTTTAAAAAAAGAAAAAAGCATCAAGGAATTCAATGATTTGACCCCTTAGCAAGGCCAGAAGCTTCAGTAGGGAATGCAAGTAATTTTGCATGGCTTTGTTTATTTCCTTAAGGAATAATATATGACTATATCTTTAAGATGCTTTCATTATATTAATATTTCAGTATTTTTGATTTAATAAATTTAATACATCTCTGGAATTTTCTAGGAGAAAAGAAATTGACACCAAGTAAGTTGATATTGGGTAAAGCAGAGAATGTATGTCAGAATATTTTCCAGGTTTATTGACACAAAGGAATCACATGTTACAGTAACACCAGGGTCAAAGTGCTCTAGTCTATCTATAAAGTGTTAGAGAACTTATGGGTGTTTAACATGTTATGGGCATTCTCTAGATTGCCTACGAAGTGGTCTTTTAAGAATTCTCTTATGGAGGGTTAAGGCTACAGTTCAAGATAGGAGTTTCTAATTGAAATGTAATTTACAGGGACCAGGAGATGGCATCATGGTTATGTTGCTGGACTCTCATGTAGTTAACCATGGTTCAAGTCCCAGACCTGGTGGTTTAAAATTCATGCCAACTGTGTGTACATGCAAGACCAAAATCCCAAGAGGAATATGGAGAAGGAATCCTTGCTGGGGGTGATATCTTGATTTTTGTCTCTCTGTCTCTTTCTATCTTTCTTCTATCTCTCTGGCAAGCACATAAGCTCTAAAGCAAAATCTTTCTATCTATCTATCTATCTATCTATCTATCTATCTATCTATCTATCATCTATCTATCTATCTCTACCTACCTACCTATCTATCTATGTAATTTATAGATGCCTCCTAGTTAAATGAACTGCAGTTAAATATTGCTATATTAGCCAAAGTTTAATTTGCCTTTAAGCTAACATGTTTTTCTGAACTTCTACCATATTAGAATTCATATATTTGTAGCATTCCATCCTTTTACACACTTTTTAAAAAGAAAAACAAAAAAAGTACATTAAATATGCATTGGTGGGTCAGCAGATGGCATAGTGTTTAAGGTGTTGGATTCCCACATGGCAGAGTCCTGGACCTGAAGGCTTGAAACTTATGCTGGTCTGCATGCATGCATGCCCAAAATTCCAGGAGGAGAATGGAGGAGAAGAAACTGTTTTGTGGCCATCTCCCCGGAGGGTGGGGAGTGGGTTCTCATTTTCCCTCTTTGTCTCTCTCCAGCAAGCACACACAGCATATGGCAAAAACCTAAAAAAAAAGAAAAAAAATTGAATCCTTATGATTCTTTTTGCTTTTTAGCAGAAAATAAGAATGCTGAAATAATGAAAAAGTAAACACACATTTTAAAAAGCACAAGCTTAGAACAATCCATATCTTACTATATACTATCATTTTAAAAATATCAGGGCCAAATAATGGTACAGCGGTGAAATGTGATACTCTATGGGAAGGTTCCAAGCTGTGTCCAGACACACACACTGGGCAAACTCACGTCCATGGTCCAGGGTGGGCCAAAGCTGCAGTGTGAGGGGAGGGGGGTAGATTATAGTGTCAAAACCCTGTCAGGAGTGCTATTTCTCTTTCTCACTCGTGGTGTGTTCGTGTGTACACACTCACGGGAGAAAAAAGATACTTTAAAATAATCTCATATTCAGGGGCCAGATGAAGGTAAAGCAGTAAAACACAAGACACTGTGAAGTAACCCCATATGGGAAGGTTTACAGTTGAAGTCCAAAGCCTCCCTAAGTACACTGGGCAAATGTGTGACCATGACCCAGGGCTACATGAAGGCTGGGAGTGGATCACAGTGTCAGGACCCTGTTTGACGTTCTCTCTCTCTCTCTCTTTCTCTCTCCCTCCTGCTCTGTCTCTCTTGCTTATGGAAGAAATAAATAAACTAACAAATATCAGATTCATTATCTCATTAATTATCTGCAGTACATCTGACTTGTCCTTTGAGCAGAAGAATCTGCTAATTAGTAGAGATATGAAATTTTCAAAATTTGGTGTGTTGTTGAGTCTATAGACCCATGTCAAGTTTTGACTCTACTGCTTAGGTACATCACATAGCTCCTCTTGATTTCAGAATCTTTATTTGCAAAATTATATCAATAATACGTAAAGCTTCACATAGCTGTTATGAAAATTAATGAGTCCCTTAAACAAGGACCAGTAAATATATTATTCATTTTTTATATCCTCAGTCCCTGAATTACTCTGTAAAGTAGTTTATAATTAATGTATTTCTAAAAAGGCCAACAAAACATTATACATTAAAGGTAGACTTAATTTTAGTGTGCTTGGCATAATTGTGATTTGCAGATACTGTGTTTTTTAAAAATTGGATGTTTGCATCAACCCTGCATCAGTCAGGTCTATCAATCCCATTTTCCAGCGGCATGTGCTTGCTTTGTGCCTCTGTGTCACATCTCAGTAATTCTTACAATATTTCAGACTTCTCCATTATTATTGCTTCTGTGATGGTGACCTGTGGCCAGTGACCTTTGATGTCACTATTGTATTCATGATTTTTCAGGGTGTCATGCATGAGACCATATACAATGGCAAACAATCAGGAAAGGTGTGTGTTCCAATTGCTCCACCAACCAGGGGCTTCTGTCTTTCTCTTCCACTCCTTTTGCATTCCCTATTCCCCAAGGACACAACAATGTTGCTATTAGACCAATTAACATCCCTACAATATCCCCATTAGGTGCTCAAATGAAAGGGAGAGTCACAAATCTCTCCTTTTAATCCAAAAGCCAGACATTATTAAGCTTATGGAGTAAGTCATGCCAAAAGCTGAACTGGGTCAGAAGTTCTCTTGTGCCAAATAGCCAAGTCATGAATGCCAAGGATAAATTCTTGATGTGGTACTCCAGTGAAGACACAAATGATAAAAAAGAAAAACAGCCTTACTGCTGAATAGGAGAGATTTTAGTGATCTGGATAAATCAAACTGCCACCACATTCTTGTGTCAAAGTAATGCAGAGCAAGGTCTTAACTCTGCATTTCTACAAAGTTGGAGGAATGTGAGGAACCACAGAAAAAGTAATCTAAAGCTAGTAGAGTTTAGCGGATGAGGTTTAAGAAAAGAAGTCATTTCTCTTACACTGCTGGTGGGAATGTAAAGTGGTCCAGCCACTGTGGAGAACAATTTGGAGATTCTTCAAAAATCTACAAATAGAACTACCATGTGATCCAGCAATCCCACTCCTTGGTATAGACCCAAAGGACAGAAGAATATTTAATTGGAAAAGTGCTTGCACATGGACGTTTATCGCAGCACTATTCACTATTGCTAAGTCATGGAAACAACCCAAATTCCCACGAACAGATGAATGGATAGAAAAACTGTGGCACATATACTCTATGGAATACTAATTAACTATAAAAAACAAACAAACAAACAAAAACAAAGCAAAACAAAACAAAAGAAAACAGAAAACAAACCCTGGCTTTTGACAGGAAGTGGATGAATATGGAAGATTTACTGCTGAGTGAAGCAAGCCAGGCTGTGAAGGCGAGGCATTGTATGTCTCCACTTGATATATACCGAGTGTCTGCACTCTATGACTGAAATTGATTGACTAAAGGATACAGAAACACAGTACATAGATGTAATTACCAGATGTACTGTGTGTGAAAGAGGAGGGTCTGAGGAAGGACATTTAGAAGAAAAATAGGGAGGCAAAACATTAATGGGACATAGAAATGTGGATTATCTGTTGAAGATATTTTATAGTTTTATCAATTGTACTAGGGAGAAATGTTCACCTGTTGAAATATTCACTTTGTAAGCTAAACAATGTGATTGAATGTATAAAAGAAAATAAAATAAAAAATAAGAAAAAA